TATAGTTTGAATCCTATATATAAAATCTGAAGCATATAAAAATTGCCTACAGAGAAATTCCAATTCATAAAGTTTTCACGGAATGGGTAACACTTACTAGAAGTAGTAAATTTTGAAAGCAAGACAGTATAAAATTCTAGTACTTCTGTCTAACAAACCATGTCTAGATATCAAAGACACATTTCCTGCAAAATATGTCTCATAATCCTTTTGTATTCTGAATTTTCTGAAAACGAAATAGGACTTGATTTCACTTGGCACTGGCCAAGCATATGTTATTACAAGGATTCAGCTTGCTAACCAACTATCTTCTCCAAACAATTTTGACACAATTATTCAAAAAGGTTTTAAAGGTACCAAGTAACCAAGAACTCATTTTATGATAAAAGTAATTATGACAATCACTCAAATAAAAGTAAAAAATCAACAATAATTGCATATTATCTAGGAATTACTGAGACATTTCATCCAGATGATATCGATAAAAACCCAAACTTTATCATGTATATGTGTCCGCTCATTCTTCGTGTTGGGGTTGTAGAACCTCTCTTCTTGTTTAGGGTTTTGGTTCAATTTGGGAGTTTTTTTTGAACGAATGTGGGGTTGGTTTGGGTGTACTGGAAACGGCATCACTTTGCTCTATAATTTTCCCAAAAAAAAAAAAGCCATAAAACGACGTCGTTCCATTAAACCGCATGACATGCGGTAAGTCCCTTACCGCAGACGAGCTGCACCCCTGTCCGGGCCTTTAACTCCTGAGCTTGGTTACTTGAAGAGCTTGAAATCTATGGATCTCTCAAGCTTCACAGATCGATACCTGAAATGGAGAGGTGGGCTGATATGTTTATTTATCATTCATTAGTTTTTAAGAAAAAATCCAATGGGTACCTATTTTAAACCTGATTTAACTCATAAATTTAAACTAAATAATAGTACCCAACCTATTTTTACCCAAATTAATAAAAATAGGTACCCAACCCATTAATTTATGGACGAATTGGGCGGGTTAGTGGGTTTTGAGCAAGAATTGCCACCCCTAGTGGTGGTGGTGGTACAATGATGATAGTGACGATGGTACAATGATGGTAGTGGTGGTGGATAGTAGATATTGAAAAGTTAAGAGTATAAAATACATTAAAGGCTCGTTTGGTAGACGTATTATGAGGGGATTAAATATTGCATTGTATTATTTTTTATTTAATCGGGTCTAATACTTTACTTGGTAAATAAATTTGATATCGTATTAATTTAAAAAACATATACTACTCGTATATTTTTTATATGTTAAACATGCATTATAGAGGTATTTTAATATCACAAAAAGAGGTGGTATTATAATCCAATTCAAACGTATTATTTTACACATTTACCATTATAACCCTCTAACCGATAAAATCAAACTATCATTAATATAACAAACACTGATTGAGGGTATTTTTGTTAATTTAACATTAATACGATAAAATAATTCCTTAACCAAACAGCCAATTAGATTAAATAATTACTAACCAACGTTTATGTTGTGTATTACCAAATACTAGATAAAATTACGTATTATTTTAATATAATATTTAGTCTTGTCTTTTGTCCATCTGTATTGTATTAGACCGAATTATTTTTTCTAATCCATCTATTTCTAATACGGCAACTAAACAAGCCCTAAGGGTATATTTATCATTATGAGAAATTGATAAAATTCTTATTGAGTAATATTTTCAACATTACATGAAAAGTAGGTGACTTGTTACTTAAAATTTTAACTTGTTTTTAAAAAGTGTATAAAATATTAAATGATAAGAGTTTTAAATTATTAAACGACTTTAATTCAAAAAATACTTGTAGTATTCAGTTTTAAACCTTAAATAGTATTATCTTCCCAAGGCAAGTATGTAATCCTTTTACATAAAAATGTTGCAATAGTCTTGTGTAGGTGTTCGAGGAAATATCTATACTAAACATGAACAACAAAACGTATCAGTTGAGTTTTATGTCCTCCTTAAATGTTTAGGGGATGCCCAAAACCCAAAACTCCTATTTTTTTGGGGTACCTCCCTTCTCCATGTTCTTCAAGTTTAATTTGAAAAGACCAATGTGCATGCATTGGCTTGAGAGGTTGCTTAAAAATATGTTTTCCAAGAAGCCTCCTTTGCCATTCCAGACTGGGTTGCATTTGGTACTTCAACATCCACCATTTTTTATTGATGAGATATAGAGATACTCACGTGGGTATGTCTAATGATTAAGTACTTTCATTTTTCTTTTGAAAGAAACGGTTGAAATTTTATTAAAAATGAATATCTAATCGGGGAAGAGACACTAAGAAATCAGATATCGTCTCTTCCTATACATCAAAATTATCAATAAAACAAACATTTTTCATTAATTGATATGTTACTCTATTATCAAATCGTCGTAAAATAGACATGATAAAAAATCGAAAACCATGAGAAATGTTCATTATATCTTCTAAGATAGAACCCATTGGATCAAACTCACCACTATAATTGGAAATCATCTTCATCACATTTATAGAGTTACCTTCTATTATGATTTCGTCACTTCCATGTTGCATACCAAACTGCACGGCTTCCCTTAAGTACTTTGAGGGTTAAGAAACAAGCTCTATACATGTTACATTTGCCTTTTACTAATACATATCATTACTCTTTTTGATTTTTCAAAGCCCATAACTTTTGATTTTTCAAAGCACAAAAAATCAAACCCTTCATTATTTTATCGATATTTCACTTATTCTGCTTCTCTTTATTAAAGGTGTCACTAGAGTCATGTCATTTAATATTTAAGTTATATTATTTTATGTCCTTGTCATGTTTGTGTAAATTATAAATAAAAAATTTAAAGACTAATATCTCTTTCTCGACTAAATCAACCCAAGTGAAGATATACTTAATCCCAATCCTAATGAGGTGGATAATCAACCCCTTGCATTCTACAATATTTTTTTAGTCATACAATACTTGGAGAAAAAGAAAGAGTTTGAACTCGTAAAATTAAAATTTAATATGATAATAGTCATTTGATCAATGGACTTGACTACGGTATTGACACAAAAAATTTTATGCCGTACCTCTTAAAATTTGCTATTTTAATTGGTGTTTTTATAATTTTTATAGATTATTTTATAACTAAAAAATTTATCACTGTTATGGATGATTTATTACTTTTATGGATATTTTTATCGTGATAACTATTTACCAATTTTCTTCAATACAAAAATAATTACCATTGTTTGGCTAATTTACAATATTTGTAGATTTTTTACCATTATTGTAGTAATTATTTTTATTATTTTTGTTGGTACGACAATAGTGGTAAAAATATCCATATTAGTAATAACAATAATTACAAAAATGATAACAAGAGGTATCATAACAATTTTTTTGGCGTAAAATATATGTTTGGTCCCCAAATTATGTTTTTCGTGTTAGTTTAGTTTTAAAACTTTTAATTGTGTCAAATTGGTCTTTCAACTTCTAAATTTATGTTATTTTGATTCAATTGAAAACAACTGCTTAAATTGATTAAGAGATATTCAAGTGACCACACTTAAAAGGGTCACTTCAGTTCCTCAAGTTTATAAATTGTATCATTTTGGTCCTTCAAGTTAACAGTTTGTGTAATTTTAGTCCTTAAAATTTTCAAAGAATGTGCGTCAAGTGTGATCATGTGAGATGCAAGTGATGATCTTCGTGAGTAATTCTAATTGCCTTTTTTATTGGACCAAAATGATATAAATTGAGAAGTCGAATGACCAAATTAACAAAATTAAAAAATTAAAGACCAAATTGATACAAAGTACATAATTTAAGGACCAAAAATATATTTAATCCCCCTTTTCTTTTTGGGAACAGTAGATAAGTCCTTTGATGATTTGCTTTACAAGTAAGAACATTTCCAACCTCTCCAAAATAGTTAATTAAAATATATTTAAATATTATATTATTCATTTTAGTTAATCATTTTTATAAATTCACTTCAATCACATTCTTTATTTTAGTTAATTATTTCATCTAATTTTTAATACTTTTTAATAATTTGAAGAGAATATAACATATATATATATAGAGAGAGAGAGAGTAAAAAAAAATAGAGAAAAAATTTAAAGAGATTAAATGACTCTCCACGTTTGGAGAACTATTAGTAAAAAATGGAAAATAGAGGTTGAGGTAAAGAGTGGCTTAAAGAGTGTTTTTAGTGTTTGCTAAGCTAAAATAGTTAAACGAAAAGAAAGGAAAGGAAGACTGTGTTTAGAGATGCTCCAAGCCGTATCCTGCAACATTGACACGTGTAATTTCATACTTTATTCTCGTACTCTTGCGGATGTCACGGCAAAACCTACTCTTGAGAGGTACCAGATTATATATCTCCCACTGCAACGAAACCATCAAAACTTTCTCTTTCCAGTGGTCTCCATGCCTCAGAAATAATCAGGAAATCCTCCTCATCTGCAACCTATTTCATTGAACCCAAACTCGATCCTTGTTTTTGTAAGTACCCTTTTGCGAATCCAATCAGAATCCGAACTTTTGAGTGTGTGTGAGAGAGAGAGATCGAGAGAGAGAATTGGGTAAGAAAAATGAGCTTGAATTGAATGGTTGGGTTGAATTTTGTTAGGCAGTTTTGAATTTGTTGTATGCTGGGTTATTCTATTGCAATCAGAAGGCTACAGTGCTTGGTAAGGTTTTTGGTAGGTCAGAACAAGAACAGGCTACATTCTACAATGACTACTGTACCTGGTATAGAGGCTGATGCTCTCAACGTGTTGAGATCAATCACTCCAACCCTTGACTTAACTCGGCATAAAGGGCAGGCTGGTAAGCTCTGTCAATCTTTCTGTCCTTTAGTCATTTTCAGAAATTATACTTTTACTCGTCTGCAATCGAATAAATGCTACATGGACCTAATTTAGGATCTAGTTAACATAATCTAGAGACCTAATTCATTGCCATTGATTAATTTAGTTGTGAGATTTAAAGTTGGATGGACCCACTTTTAATGTAACAACTAATTGTTTAGGTCCTGTTTTAGAGTCTCAAAATAGCATTTTTCTATGTGATCAACACCCCATTCTAATAACAGACCCATGTGTAGGGCTCTTAAACGAAACGAGATACTCGGACTGTGCGTGGAGCATTTTTTGCTCGCTCAAGTTCGTTCAATTTCTTATACAAGCAGAATATGAACAGAATTTTAGCCTTGTTTTAATACAAATCGAGCCTGAGCTATTCGGTTGGATCAAATAAGCTCGATAATTTTCATTTTTGGTAGGGATTCAATTTATATACCTTTTCCAGCTGGATATTGTCTGTATTGCAACAATACACTCATGATCCATTGCCTCATGTGAGTTTCATCCTAAACTCATATTCAAGCTCACATTAATAATGAACAAGCTTTGACTAGCTGAGCCCGAATGACTCGTTTTTAAATGAGCCAAGCCTGGACAAAATTTTAAGCGCAGCATCGAAGCCCAAGCTGAGCTTGAGTAGACCTTAAAAATTACGAGCTGAGTTGAGCAAATCAAAGCTTGCCCAAGCTCTGCTCGTTCAACACCCCTACGACCATGTGTGTGTGTGTTAACTTTAGATGGAAATTTTATTTTTTTGGGTAAATAATTATGATATCTAATTTTGTATTTTTGCTCTGCTTAAGTTCCCGTTAATCAAATTGTTATTCAGGCAAGATAGCTGTTATTGGTGGATGCCGTGAATACACGGGTGCTCCATACTTCTCTGCCATTTCAGCTTTAAAAATTGTTAGTTCTCTCAATCTCTGCCTTATTTGTCTTAATTACACTATTTCTTGCTATCTTTTGTGTTGGCATTTTGTTCATTGCCATTTTTATTTTTAGCAAAACACCATGTTGTTACATCACAAATCACGTAGTAGTTTGAAATTTAAAGGACTCGATTCTATTCTTTTTCTCCCCAGGGAGCAGATTTATCCCATGTATTCTGTACTAAAGATGCAGCTCCAGTTATAAAAAGCTATAGTCCAGAGTTAATTGTGCATCCTATTTTGGAAGAATCTTACAGTGTTAGGTGAATTCCTTTAACTATTTCACTTATTTTCTTTAACAAAGCCACTCGCTTTTTTTTTTAAAAGTTTGACTAGTTAATGTATAATCTGTATTGGGTGCTGATTTTGTGAAAAAATTATTTCAGGGATGAGGACAAAAGATCAATATCAGCTAAGGTTCTTGCTGAAGTTAATAAGTGGATGGAAAGATTCGATTGTCTTGTTGTTGGTCCAGGCCTCGGGAGGGACCCATTTCTTCTGGTATGCCTTTTTTAACCAAGCTTTTTCAACCCTAAATCTTTCTGTGGAGATTAAGATAGATTGTCACGTAGGTTACTGTATTTGCTCGATTGACTAAGATAGATCTATTGCATTGGCTCCTTTCTGCCAGGAAAAAAAAATCTTTGTTCTTTGTGTTGAACATTTCATGCTACCTGTTTGGTGTTCATACTGTGAGCTGTAGTCGTTTATAATATTTGCCTAACCTGTTCAGGACTGCGTGAGTGATATCATGAAGCATGCAAGACATTCAAATGTCCCAATGGTAATAGATGGGGTATGTGACTAGACTACAAACAAACATTTTTGCAACACATTCACTAGCATGCTTTTGACTGAAACTTTCTTGGCTGGTGATGTGGGTCTTTTCCAGGATGGGCTCTTTCTTGTTACAAACTGTCTTGATCTGGTCAGTGGATATCCCTTAGCTGTCCTTACTCCAAATGTGTATGAATATAGGCGCCTTGTTGAGAAAGTCCTTAATTGTGAAGTAGATAGTCAAGATGGAACAGAACAACTACTTTCTCTTGCCAAACGGTAAATTCTGTATTAAGTTCCTTCACATCATGGTCAATGCATTGAGCAGTCAACTGATCGTTTCTGTAATATTCCGAAGCACCCAACCCAATATTTTTAGCAAATTTGATATATAATTTTCAGTAATGGAAGCATTGACAGTATATGTTCGCTGGACTTTTGATGGATAACATGTTATGGGATTAAATGGAACATCCCCGTGTAGATTTGGTGTGAGAAGGAAGGGGAGAACTGAAGCAACTAAGCAAAAAGAGAGAAAAAGGGGTTTGGAGAGTGCATGGGGGTTGCAGAATGAGGGCATGGTGCATCTGCCAAAACAAGTTTTATGGTATATCAAAAAGAATCTGTTTCTGTCGATGAATTGACACAAGCACCGTTGACGACTAAACCTCCTTTCACACACAATGATAGGCAGTGGAAGTGAGAGAACCACTTTGCTGTTGGGAGGATTGCTACATCTATTGCAGAAGGTTTTCACACAGGCTCAGTACCCAGATCAGTTCACATATGAGGAGTGCCAGATTAATGCTGAAAAGTATGTGTTCTAAGTTTTGAAAAAAGAGAGAAAAGGAAGAAGATACCCTGAAGTATATATTAGTTTAATCTGGGGTGGGCTATTATTGTGTTCATGCATGTATGAAACAGTTATATGTGTTTGTCATAAATGACATTAACTGGTGCTCTATGTGGAATGATAGAAGGTGTTTATTTCAACTCATGTTGTGTAGTATGAGCATTTTGGAGGGTTTACAACCTGTTTATGCTATAATTAATGTTTTCAGCTAGACTCGTGTCAATGGATTGAACTGGTTTATTCGTACACCATGCACATGTAAGACGATGCATTGTAATTCACAAGGGAATCACCATATTTCAGTTTGTATTCCTCTTTTAATCTACAGTTGTATTACTGAAAGAGGCCCTCTTGTGTTGGTCATCATTAATGACTGCAAGTAGCCTGGTCCTGTAGTGTAAGAAGAAGTTTATGAAATATGTGGAGGAGTTAGTTTAATTGGAAAAACGATTCACCAGAATCCATTGCTTTCAACATACCTTCTTGTGGTTGCGAGTTGAAATTCTTTTACTAACAACATTGTATTAAAACCACTGTTTACGTTCATCTTTTTCCCCTTTTAGCCTTCTCTTTTTCAAAGGTCAGTTTTCAGTTGTATATCATTGAACCCTTGGTCCACCATTCCCTCCAGATGTCTTTTTAATATCTTTAGCTTACATAGTTGCATCATTATGTACCTTTACCTCTCATCAAGTCCTCATGTAGTGTAATGAGCTGATTAATGTCTCTTGTTGATCAGGGTTGGTGGTGTGACCATTCTCAGGAAAGGAAAATCTGATCTTATTAGTGATGGTGAATCAGGTATCATCTTGCTTGAATTCATTACTATTTTTCATGTGTGTGGTTCATGTTCTCTCGTAATTGTAGGTTAGTAGTTTCATTTGCTAATTTTTGTTTGTGTAATAGATGGGTATTGCTTAAATTTGAGTTGTAAAGTGTGGGTCACTCCTTTTGGTATTTCTGTGATTTCCTGACGGTGTCCAGCATATGTGACACTTTTAAGGGGAGTAGGACCAATAGCTTAACCTGTGGCTGCAGGCATTAAGGCAAATATGCTTGACTAAATGCTCACGCAAATGCAGACAAACAAGTGGCACTGATTTAGTGGGACATCTTTTGTCGTAGTGACCTTCTTCAACGTCACTGAGATAATATATTCCATGGCTACATAACACTCTCACAAGACACTAAACAAGTAGAGGCCCTTTACACAAGAGAGAACAATGAGACAGATCCTCTTCTAGAAAGATCCACCTCATTGTATCTGTGGGACTTGTCTTCTTCTCTCAGTTTCACTACCTTTTTCAGTGTCTTCTTGGATTTTCCTCCAGGTAGAGCATGGCTTAAGGTCAGTATTAATCATTGATTTAGAGGGCTCTGAGATACACATTGACCAAGGCGCACTATCAAGCGGTACGACCTAAAAGAAAAAAGTTGAATATGGTGAGAGATTCAGGTCATGTCGTGGCATCATAGAACCGTATAGGCCGAGTCGGTGACGATAGCTCAACAACTTGGGATTGACTCGAAGACGACTTGGCCGAGTGGTGCGAGACTCGGGGTTGATACGTTTACCATACTTGGAACCTTCTCTTTCTCTTTCTAGGGGAACAAAATCCATTGATGAAGAGAGAGAGAACATTCAGAGGCAATTTTGATAAATAAATGCAATAAATGAGGAGAAGGCATTAATGTATGGTTCTGTTTTCTAGAGATTGCAGTATGAATTGGCTGGCTGCATGGCATTTCCATGATTCTATTGTTCAGTTATCCTGTTTTCCAACATCTAGCATATTGAATCTATGACCCATAAGTCAACATAACAGTTGGCTTGTCAGAGTAGGCAATCTTTTGAAAAACAAACAAACAGTACAGTTGGCTTGTGACCAGATTCGACCAACAGGATGCAATTGAGATCTGACAACTAGATGATCTAGGGCCACTGAATCAAAACTAACCTCTATTTATGACGATAATAAGTATGTTTTTGCCCCTATTTGACCGCGGTGTGAACAACATGATATAACTTGTCTCTTTTCAGGGTAATGTTACTCTTACCATTATGATTTTGAACTACATTCTTATGGTTTATGCAGTCAAGTCAGTGAGCATATACGGTTCTCCCCGTCGTTGTGGTGGCCAGGGCGATGTACTTTCTGGAAGGCAAGTGATTATTTTCTACTGTTAGCTGTAGTTAGCTTCGTGAGGGAAAATGTTGTCATGTATATTCTGTGCGTTTATGGAAATTACTGAGACTTCCTGAATTTAATTGTTGCTTGTTATTGTGAGGCATTATTTCACTTGGGTCTTTTCTTCAAATACTGGGGTGTGGTTTTTTACTATTGCATTGTTGTCATTGAGCCACATTACTGAGGCAGGAAGAGGGTACCTTAATAGGGTTGTTGCGGTTGTACATTTATGTGAAATGTATTCCATAGCGCATGCTGCACAGCGTGCATGTTCCTAATGCTATTAGATGGTTTCTAGTTGTATTTTTTGTTTTTCTCTCTAGCAATTCTATAGGCTTAGTTGTTGGATTTGCAAAAGAAGCTAATTAGTTATGTTTTAGCAAAAAGGCCTGAAGTTACAAATTGCTGCAATCTTTTCTTAATCACATTTGACTGGTTAAAATAGGGTTGATGTGTTGAGCTGTCTACATATAGCATGATGATCATAATTCATTATTATTCTTTTGGTGCCAGTGTTGCAGTATTCCTATATTGGGCCCGTCAGCGTGTTGCTGAATTGGAACCGAGGTCGAACCCGACAATGTTGGGGGGCATAGCTGGGTCCATTTTGGTGAGGAAGGCAGCATTGCTTGCATTTGAGAATAAGAGAAGATCTACCCTCACTGGAGATATCATCGAGTGCTTGGGAATGAGGTAGTGATTACTATTTACTCAATAATGTTCATGTAGAATAGTTCATCAGTCTAGCAATTTGCTTTCTTTTTATGCAGTCTGGAGGATATTTGTCCAGTTAACCGACATCGTTAATTGGGATCAGGTGGAATCAACTGTACTCCCAAACTTCACTCCTATTCTTCTACCTTGCTCCCTTGTTTTCTTCCTCGTTGTGTGTACAAACGATCGATGATCTTGTATGTCTTATGTAATGTTGATACAAATATCAGATTAAGTGACTTGTGGCAACGCCTGAGGACGAAGCGTTTACAACTTGTAATAGAGGCTAATTTTCTTTTTGACGAGTTAACTTATTGAGAATATAGTTGTACACAGAAAAGCCTGTGCAATCGATCTACTTGATGCTGATTCGAGCAACTATACACGAAATACAACAATTTGTTGCCGCAATATTACACAATCATCTGCATTCCTACTAGAGTCATGAGCCACTAATAATAGTTAAGACGTCAACGGCGACACTCAGAAACCAACATGTCATCCAATGACTGGGGAGGGAACTATGATATCTAGCATTTCAGCATTTCTGTGACAAGCTACGAATCTGCAATTCCCCAATGAGACAATTGTTGAGAACATAGTAAAGTGTAGTGATGGAATTAAAATTTCATATTTTTTTTGGTGGGTGGGTGTTTTTTTTTTTTTTTTTTTTTTTTTTGGGGGGGGGGTGTGGTCAGTGATCAATGATGGGGTTGGCAACAATAGTGAGATGATTGTCATGTAACGGTGGTGTGGTGATGATTGCGATAATGATGAGGTGTGGTGGTAGAGAAATATCAAAAATGTCGGTTCAAACATTTATGCGTATCAAATTTAGTCTTATCTTTCTTTGAGATAGAATATTCTTGGTATGTCTATCCGCATGCACAATGAATTTATCAATGTATACCCAAATGTTGAGAATGTTATAAACAAGTATCATGAAGTGATTCAAATTGATTTGGTTACTGAGAAACAATTCAAATTAGAAATATTACAGAACTTTACACAACATATTTTATAAGATCATTGATTCCAATAGCCAAGGCAAACAAACACATTATGCTTATCTGTGTAGTGCTTGAAAAGATTAACCTCAAGTATACTTTCAGAATTGTTTTAAGTAATGAAAACTCGAGGATGAATTTTTGTTAAGAGAGAGGGTCTGAAATATTTTATTTTATCCTGTAGTGATTAGTTGCCTAAACTATGCCAATTTTTCTAATTCTATTAGGCTTGTGTTTTTTTCTTTTTGGTAACAATATGAGAATTAGGGATTTATTTTTGCTTTAAAAATCTTAGGATTTTGAGTGATTAACCATCAAAAGTGCTATTTATTATACTTAAGGATGTGTTAATTATGTGTTATTTAAGATAAAATGTGTTAAATTTATGGATTTTCTAACTTGATACATATTCTAGTTGTTTGTCTCATTTTGTAGGCAACTCGAATGATTTACGATAATAATGAATTGATCCAAGTTGAGTAGACAATAGAGGAAGGATCCGGTTGAAATAGGGGATAATTTGATGAAAAAAATAAGTTGGGAGGCATTCCAAAGCATAAATGCAGGTTGGAAAGAATTCGGAAAGGAAATATTTTGACATTACTATCGTATTTTGGTTATGACTTTTTATTTTGATATCCAATTGACCTGTTTCTTATGAAATTTGAAAGTAGTTTTCAAGAGATTCAAAAGTATATTTCATGAAAATTTTGTGAATTGACCTCTAACTATGCAAAAATTAAGTTGGAAATATGAGCAGAAACTTACCTGCGTCCGGACATGATTTTCAGAACGATTTTGATGCCTCATTGGTCACGATATATTAGATTTGACCTAAAAAGACTCCTTTTTGAAAAGAAATAGCTCACCCTAAACCCCTTAGTATATACATAGGACTTCTCTTATGTTGANCATAGAAAAGTGATAATTATAAAAGATGGACTCCTCATTCCATGAACTGAAGGTGGTAAAAATTTCATCATACATATATGTACATCTTGAGGTCTCCTATTTGGCCTTTACTCTCTTTGGCAAATTTTCTTGTTCATTGACATTCAAGCAACCTTCCCCATCAAACCCTTCTGCAAATGCCATTTCATCAAAGCAATGGTCAGTAAAAGAGCTAAAAATGAGGAGAAAAGTTAAACAAATTCTGATTTAGTTTGTGTCCCCTAGAAACTCAAATAACCAAAGCATTTCTCTTAGAAATTAAACCGATTGGGCCAGTCACAATTGGTCTAATGTCTGGGTGCGTATGGCGGTACACTGAGACCACCTTTCAAGTCGGCTGAAAAGGAAAGAAAAAAGGGTTTCGTCGATTCCCACTGGTTTTCAATTCTTTGACAGGATTAGGAGTGATGCAACAAGGAGGGTAAGGCACTATCTATATTTAACTTCATGTGGAAAGTATGATGATCAACACTCACATCATTACTCACGGTCATGGTCAAGCCACACCGTCCCTGCTCAAGAATCTTCAGGCGGTTGCTGTTGCTGAGGCCACATCTGCTGACCTATATAAGGATGAGGCTGCTGGCCATAAAGGGCTTGATCCACAGGCTTCCCCATGTACATCCCCAGAGCTCCAGCCTGCGAAGCATGTTGCTGTGGCATATAGTAGTAAGGAAGACCCTCAGTTGGACCTCCAACAGGAAGAGTCCCTCTTGGGATAGATGTAAGTACCTCATCTTTCAAATCTTCCCTCGGTACAATATCAACCAAGAAATCAAATATATCAGTCCTTGTGATGGCTGCTGCAATGTCATTCTTCTGAAGTGTCCTCCTTTTGTTCTCCTCGGTGTGATTCCAAGACCGTAGAGTCAACTCAAGGATGAACATCTCACAGGCCCTGGCAAATATGACAGGAGCCTCAGCTGCTATCATTCTAACATCCTCATCTGCTTTCATAATCTTCTTAATCCTAGCCAATGGAAGGCTATGGTTCTTAAAATCAGTTGTCTGCTCGATGTCTTGATACTGGCTTGTCCAAAAACTCTGGAGTTGTTGCTGCAATTGCTGTTGCTGCTGCTGCTGGTGGACATGCTGATAAGCAAGCTGATGTTGTCCAAACTGAGCTGGAGGAGCAGAGAGGCCAGATGTACATGAAGGAGGCGGAACTGATCCAACGGATGCAGGGGGAGAAATCATTTGGTTAGCTTGATATGGAGCAACAATGTATGGCATCTGAATTGAGCTACCCACCACCCCAGTAACTGGGGGCTGTCCAGGCCCTTGATGATCCATTTTAAGAGTGTATCACTGGGAATCTATATTCCCCAGACATTTTGAATGTCAAACACAAACAAGAAAATAAGGTTTTGAGAATGAAACATAACATTAAGCATTTCATCATAAAAAAATATCAGGCCACTGCTAAGCCTCTCAAAAACCCAACGGTATAACTATATAACAGATAAACAGAAAAACATTGTCCAAATATATGCATATAAACCAGTAAAATGCTACTTCTTCTGATAGTGAGTGTACCAAAAGTTAAATTCATCCCATTACAGATAGCCTCTTGGAGATAATCCAGGTATAAAAACAAATAATTTAAGCCTATATATGGTATGTTATGAGGAATATCCAAATCCTTAGCTCTTAAAATCCTCTTGGATTATTGACCCAAAAAGAAAACCCCCTTCAAGCAATTTCAACATGCTGTTTAAAAGTGTGAATTGCCACCCTTTACGAGCATCTATCTTGTTTAGATTAGTCGAAAGACTTGATAAATCTACAAAACATTTACAAAGATTTAGTGTGGAGACTTTTAATCCATTAAATATTTTCAATAAATCTACAAAACATGATTTGTTGAATTCAATGGAGATTTTCCTCCCAACTCGGGAACTGTAACATCTGAAAAGAAATCAACACCTCAGTGATGTTGCTCACGCGAACATATTTCTCACGAACACAAGTAATTAAACAAGAAATCCAAGCGTACAATGAAGATGGATTCATATGTACATAGTCTAACACAAAATTTTCAGACATTCCCCAAATTTAACCCTTGAATTCAGTATATTCTTGTCAGCACTCTTTGTCAACAGGGATCAAGATGGGTAATGGCCCCTATTTCCTTTCGTTCAACAGTACACAGACACAAAATTACCACCACCCAACATAAAAACTGCCATAGAGGAACTTCACACTCTAAATTTATCTATTGAAGTTCACTTGTAGGGAATAAAATACCTGAAATTATATGTGATGTATCACATAAATAACCACCCTTTTGATTTTAGCTCCAAATTATTTGTGGGATTGTATATCATGTGTGTGTGTGTGTGAGAGAGAGAGAGAGAGAGAGAGAGAGAGAGAGATTAATGGAACGTCAAAATAACAACAGTTTAAAAACTAGTAATCACATATAAACAGCTATAATTCTGGATTTCTGGCTGACATAAACACATGCATGAACATATATGACAAAAATTGATACCTTGACACAGCTCTATTTACTATGAATTCTTGGTCTTGTTCAACGATCAAAATCCTACCACAATACCTATCGAATGATCAGAAACTTAGTTCAAAATTACAGAAATTTCCAATATATACAAATGGGATTGCATAAAAATCCAACCTTTATGAACAGCGGGTGAGAGGGATTGACTAGGGTTCGAAATAGAGAGAGCTAATTGAATAAAAGTGCATGTTGAGTCATATACATACATACACCTATATATATACGGAACAGGAAGAAAGCGCCAGTCTGGCTCCTCAAACTCAAATTTCCAACCCACTCAGTAATCAAAATGACCGACAACCCTTTTTGTAGAACAATTGAATTTGAATCGAATTTTTATTAATTCGAATTTGAATTTGATTTTTAAATACGATTTAATTATCCGAAGAATTTTATTTTCGTATTCTATGTTTGAATTTATTAATAATATAAAATTGGATCCGATCTAAATAATTTAATATAACTAAAATTTAATAAACTACATCTAAATTTCAACTATTTTTTTCTTTAAATAATCACTTCATTTCTTTAATATATATATATATATATATATATATATATATATATATATATAAGTCACCCTATAATATAATGGCAACATGTTTTTCCTTAAGAATAAAGTATATGTTTTGAAGAAGTCTAGATTGATGACATGGAGGGCTATTGTGGGTAGGGCTGGCTGATAAATGAGTTAAGCTACTTGAACTCGGTTAAAATAAGACTCGTGTTCTAACTAATCGAGTTTAAGTAATTTTTTAGACTTATTTAGAAAATGAGCTTAAAAGACTTAGCTCGTTTTTGAGTAAAATAGTCGAGTTACTCAGGTTCGGCCTCGACTCTTTTCTAAACAAGCCGAGTTTGAACAAATTTTTAGACTCGTTTAAAAAAATAGATCAACATACTCGATTTGAATTCACAATGCTCAACTCGATTATCAGTCATAATTGTAGGTGTTGGAGCTTCTTTGGTACCTTGTTAAAAGTTTAAGTTTAATCAAGTTAAATTACGATTCAAATAAGTCACAACATGATTTAGGATATATCCAAAAATTGAGATAGATACTAATTTTTTTGTATTAATTCAAAGATTTTCAGATTTCATTGATTAGTATTCTAATCTCTTTAAATCACATTTGTTTAATATGGTTACCTAAAAATATGATAGATACAGTCTTGAAAGNTCAATTTATATAATTTTGATCTCCACATAAACAGACCGTTAAATTTTTTTAACGGAAGTGGTCACGTATAATTTTTTTAGACGTATCACGGACTCAATACATGATTATTTTGTCAAAAACTTAACGGACTGTCTATATAGGAATCAAAATAACATGAATTGAATACTTTAGTGATTAAATTGATACATTAAAAACTAAACTAACAAAAAATTCATACTTTAAAGATAAAAAAATATTATTAACCCTGATCGGAATATATACAAAGTCCAAACTAACTTTTTATATCTACCGNTTAAAAACTAGTAATCACATATAAACAGCTATAATTCTGGATTTCTGGCTGACATAAACACATGCATGAACATATATGACAAAAATTGATACCTTGACACAGCTCTATTTACTATGAATTCTTGGTCTTGTTCAACGATCAAAATCCTACCACAATACCTATCGAATGATCAGAAACTTAGTTCAAAATTACAGAAATTTCCAATATATACAAATGGGATTGCATAAAAATCCAACCTTTATGAACAGCGGGTGAGAGGGATTGACTAGGGTTCGAAATAGAGAGAGCTAATTGAATAAAAGTGCATGTTGAGTCATATACATACATACACCTATATATATACGGAACAGGAAGAAAGCGCCAGTCTGGCTCCTCAAACTCAAATTTCCAACCCACTCAGTAATCAAAATGACCGACAACCCTTTTTGTAGAACAATTGAATTTGAATCGAATTTTTATTAATTCGAATTTGAATTTGATTTTTAAATACGATTTAATTATCCGAAGAATTTTATTTTCGTATTCTATGTTTGAATTTATTAATAATATAAAATTGGATCCGATCTAAATAATTTAATATAACTAAAATTTAATAAACTACATCTAAATTTCAACTATTTTTTTCTTTAAATAATCACTTCATTTCTTTAATATATATATATATATATATATATATATATATATATATATATAAGTCACCCTATAATATAATGGCAACATGTTTTTCCTTAAGAATAAAGTATATGTTTTGAAGAAGTCTAGATTGATGACATGGAGGGCTATTGTGGGTAGGGCTGGCTGATAAATGAGTTAAGCTACTTGAACTCGGTTAAAATAAGACTCGTGTTCTAACTAATCGAGTTTAAGTAATTTTTTAGACTTATTTAGAAAATGAGCTTAAAAGACTTAGCTCGTTTTTGAGTAAAATAGTCGAGTTACTCAGGTTCGGCCTCGACTCTTTTCTAAACAAGCCGAGTTTGAACAAATTTTTAGACTCGTTTAAAAAAATAGATCAACATACTCGATTTGAATTCACAATGCTCAACTCGATTATCAGTCATAATTGTAGGTGTTGGAGCTTCTTTGGTACCTTGTTAAAAGTTTAAGTTTAATCAAGTTAAATTACGATTCAAATAAGTCACAACATGATTTAGGATATATCCAAAAATTGAGATAGATACTAATNCCAATTTATATAATTTTGATCTCCACATAAACAGACCGTTAAATTTTTTTAGCGGAAGTGGTCACGTATAATTTTTTTAGACGTATCACGGACTCAATACATGATTATTTTGTCAAAAACTTAACGTCTATATAGGAATCAAAATAACATGAATTGAATACTTTAGTGATTAAATTGATACATTAAAAATTAAACTAACAAAAAATTCATACTTTAAAGATAAAAAAAAATTATTAACCCTGATCGGAATATATACAAAGTCCAAACTAACTTTTTATATCTACCGTGTGAATTGCTTCTTCAGTTGCCTTTCCTCCATTAAAGCAAAGCATTCAATTAGTATCAATTTAAGAGAAGAATCATATAAAGGACTAATAAACCCTCAATGTCTAGATTTTTTTACATTTAATAAGGTTTTACTTTGAATAAATTAGAAAAAATTTACCACTAAAAGGAGGGAATATGTTAGTGTCTTTCTCGTCTTGCCATCTGGTATAAAGTTCAAATTTCACTAAGTTCCCCTCCCCTATACGACTAGTGACCCAAAAAAAAAAAAAAGGAGATAATACAAGAAAATATTAATTTTTTTTGGCTTTTTTACAACTTTACAAAGTTGCTTTTGAGCTCGTCAACTTCCTACGGGTTCTAGATTCTTATTTTAAAAGTGACAATTGTTAACAAGAACAAAACTATTGATTTGTGGATAGTTTTGACTTGCATTTTTTAATGGCATGATTCTATCAACACGAATAATGGGTTGTATAAAAGGAGTAATCAACAGTTGTGTCTATTTATAAAAGACCACTTTTCCTATTTAGGAATCCGCCCGATTAAGGAGTCGAGGGTGAAAAATAATTTGAATGCAACACGCAAAGGCAAATTAAAACGAGTTTGATTAGTGTCAATCAACAAATTGCGTGTTTGACATGGAAACTCAAGGCCAACAATTGGCTTATTTTAGGAAATCTTGTCAATAGAATTTTTTTTTTCCTTCACATCCCATTTTTCTTTCTATATTCTCAATCTACCCTATTTTTTCATCATACCAAATAAAGTGTTAATTAACTAATATTTTATTAACAAAATATAAACTATGAGAGATGGTAATATAGGTTTGAAATGGGTGACCTAACTCCAAGTGGACTTGTTTATGACAGAAGCATATTCTATACAGAGTACATGAAGTGTGGGCTAGAAGTTCCTTCTAGAATGCAAGAGATTAAGCTCACAATTCCTCTCGGCCCAATCACCTTGGATTTGCAACTTTTTCTTGCCATCGGAAGTTTTTAGTTCTCTCCCAAAATTAGGGTGCAACTCGGGAGGGTTGGACAGTCAACTCTAGTCTAATCTTATATATATAATCTTCAACTCTAACTTTAACCTTACCTCTGGTTGAGCAACTCAATCTGAGCACTGCCCGAGTTTAATTCGGGCGAGCTCAGGTTGAATTCAGATTAATGATTTTGAGCTATTTTACGGGTTGAATTCAGATCAAGTCCAAAATAGACTTGTTGTTCTAAACCTGATACATATATTACATAATATTCACATAAATTAACAACTAATAACGTCAATCAAACTTTTAACATAAAAATTATATTATTTAGAACTCAATGTTTGAGATAATGCAACTACAACCATACAGAACGCAAATAAACACAACTAGAATCCTTGTACAAACATAGAGTTCACTGCTTAAATAGTGAGTGAGGGAGGCGCACAATGAAGNCTTGCCATCGGAAGTTTTTAGTTCTCTCCCAAAATTAGGGTGCAACTCGAGAGGGTTGGATAATCAACTCTAGTATAATCTTATACATATAATCTTCAACTCTAACTTTAACCCTATCTCTGGTTGAACAACTCAATCCGAGCACTGCCCGAGTTTAATTCGGGCGGGCTCAGGTTGAATTCAGATTAATGATTTTGAGCTATTTTACGGGTTGAATTCGGATTGAGTCCAAAATAGACTTGTTGTTCTAAACCTGATACATATATTACATAATATTCACCTAAATTAACAACCAATAACGTCAATCAAGTTTTTAACATAAAAATTATATTATTTAGAACTCAATGTTTGAGATAATGCAACCACAACCATACAGAACGCAAATAAACACAACTAGAATCCTTGTACAAACATAGAGTTCACTGCTTAAACAGTGAGTGAGGGAGGCGCACAATGAAGACTTTAGAACAGATTAACCGAGGACTTCAAAATAGATTAATCATAGATTTAAAAATGTATTTATATGGTTATAAATATTCGGGTTGATTCGGGTTCAACTCGGTAACCCGAGGGGTCAACCTGAGACCCGCTCAAATTGAATTCGAATTAAAATTTTTTGACCCAAACCCAACTCAAGTATTAGAAACTTTAGCCCAAAGCCTAATTTTTTCAGATTACGATCGGGTTTGCCCGCCCAAGTTGCACCCCCTACCCAAAACATGTAATCAGAATCGGATCAGATCGAATCAACTAGTTCAAACGATAAATCGGTGAATCGGACTCTTTGTTGGTCTGGATAAGTTATTGGGTTGTTTATGCACTTAAACCGTTGTTAAACCAAAAAATCATCTGACTTTTTGAAGAAATCATCAAAATGGGGTGATTTTATGAAAATCAGGCGGTTCNCGAGACCCGCTCAAGTTGAATTCGAATTAAAATTTTTTGACCCAAACCCAACTCAAGTATTAGAAACTTTAGCCCAAACCCTAATTTTTTCAGATTAAGATCGGGTTGAAATCGGGTTAGCCCGCCCAAGTTGCACCCCCTACCCAAAACATGTAATCAGAATCGGATCAGATCGAATCAACTAGTTCAAACGATAAATCGGTGAATCGGACTCTTTGTTGGTCTGGATAAGTTATTGGGTTGTTTATGCACTTAAACCGTTGTTAAACCAAAAAATCATCTGACTTTTTGAAGAAATCATCAAAATGGGGTGATTTTATGAAAATCAGGCGGTTCAAAAATGACTAGCATAAAAGTTCTATTTTGGGCTAATTTGCCCTAAAATTTAAATCGATCAGATCTCTCTCTCTCTTTCTCTCTCTCTTCCAAATATTATGCAATTTAGCTCTTACACCCCATTGGACTATCCAACACAAAATCAACATTGAAAAAAAAATTAATCTATCGATCACATTATTTGGTCATAAAAACTATTAAGAGCTGACTTTATATGTCTATAATATGCCTATCCAATTATCTTTCACTTTTAAAATAAATTATTGATTTGATTGAGAGTGTGAATCCTTCTCCATTATCGTGGAGACATGAATAATTTGTCGTAAATTCATGAACAGGAACTATATAGACAGATAGATTCATGGGTCTATGCATATCAATAGAAAAGTTGAGATATGAATGATTAACGGGTATTTATGTAATTTCAAACTGCGATCCAAAGTCCAAGCTTTTATTAAGACAGAGAGCTCAAGGCTGTACATTGATTGATGNATCTCTCTCTCTCTCTCTTCCAAATATTATGCAATTTAGCTCTTACACCCCATTGGACTATCCAACACAAAATCAACATTGAAAAAAAAGTTAATCTATCGATCACATTATTTGGTCATAAAAACTATTAAGAGCTGACTTTATATGTCTATAATATGCCTCTCCAATTATCTTTCCCTTTTAAAATAAATTATTGATTTGATTGAGAGTGTGAATCCTTCTCCATTATCGTGGAGACATGAATAATTTGTCGTAAATTCATGAACAGGAACTATATAGACAGATAGATTCATGGGTCTATGCATATCAATAGTAAAGTTGAGATATGAATGATTAACGGGTATTTATGTAATTTCAAACTGCGATCCAAAGTCCAAGCTTTTATTAAGACAGAGAGCTCAAGGCTGTACATTGATTGATGCTCATGAACTTGTCAGAAAGCAAATTATAACAGGGAAACAAAACAACCAAACCACTCTCTCATTTTTAGTAATAGACACCAACCAGCTCTCCTCCACTTCTTTACATGGTCCCGCCACTCATGCCACACCATTGATGAAGATGAAGATGAAGATGAAGATGAAGACCTCTCAATTTTTACAGAAAAGATGGTGTTCTACTTTGTGGCTNACCACTCATGCCACACCATTGATGAAGATGAAGACCTCTCAATTTTTACAGAAAAGATGGTGTTCTACTTTGTGGCTGCAAGAACAGCTGGCCCTTCCACCTGAAATATTATCCACCAACTTTACAACTCAGCAGTAGTATAGGAATATGTGGCTCAAAGTGCATTTATTCAAAGCTGGTATAGGTTTATTGCCACAAATATCAATCAAAAATCTTCTTGAACCTTCCTATCCTATCTACATATGTTTGTTCAGTATACAACTTTGCTTTCTTTTTTGGTACCAATTTTGGGTCATCATCTCATCCATGTCATACAGTTCAAAACCCTCTACAGTAAAGCACACCATTGTTGGAACCATAAAAAAAACAAGTCTTTTCCAAAAAATATCAATATAGTTTTTTCCCCAAGATTTGTTTTTGATATCCTCAGTTTGTGCTTTAACAGAAAATATTGACTTTAATAGTGTACAATGTAAGAACAAGATTGACGTAGCTACTTCCAAGTAGTTGGGATAAGTCTGTGTTGAGTTGGGAATTTTCCTATGGCTAATTTTCATAATATGAATGTATGATTCAGACAGGTTAAAAGATGATGGCCCCTGAATGAATCTAATTGCACTGGGACCTGAACATTGGATGTCAAGGATTGTATGCATAGACTAAAACATCATGTTACCATGAATTTGGCTCCCCAGATTTCCTCCTCNTATGGTTATTTTTTCGATTTTTATTTATGATGGATTACCATCTCAATCATGCACCTTTGGGTTCTTAGTTATATTATAAATTCTGCCGCTGCATCAGGTAAATCAAGGTCCCTTGTGAGAATTGATTGTAAAATCTAGATGGTAACCTGAAGTTTTCCCAATTGACCTATACTAACAGGCTATGTTTTCAGATTATCAAACACACTTAAACAAAAAGTTGTTCTACCATCCATAGAAATCATAAATTTAAGCAACTAAAATCATGATATCACGCCAAGTTTTTTTTTATGATATTCTATTAGAACATTTGGTTTCTTAACTTTTAGTGCACAATAACATTGTCAAACCTTCCAACCACCCTCAACTACAAAATGGAATACCATGAGCCTTATGGGAGTCCTGTTGTTTATTTGATACAAGAAATATACAGAGTCGTGTTAAAAATTGAAAGCACAACGATAGAACCAAACAGATTATGATATTGGGAGGTAGGGCCACAGATGGTTGGATAAAGATAAGAATTTTGCAGGACCCCATGATTGAAGTTGCATTTACACAGACCAGGGGCAGGGGTGAAGGAATAAATTTTCATACCAAACAATGAGACCAAAGAAAAGTAGGGTGATAGAGTGACCCACCGAGAAAATGACAGTAGCCTAAACAACCATTGACCATCTAGAGAAATAAGGATTTGAATTCTCGGATGATTTATCATTAACAAATAAATACAAATTACAGTCAATGAAATATTGAGTCCCAAAAATTCATCCGCTGCTGATAAGTTTGATAATTGAACCGAGTTACTCGGGCTCGACTCGTTTCGGCCACAGTTCGTTTTGAAACGAGCCGAGTTTGAACAATTTTTTAAACTCATTTGGCTCAAGCTTGCAAAACTCAATTTTTTTATATGTAAAATCGTTGAGCTAACAATTTTTTAATTGACATGCGACTCAATTATCGGCCTAACTATCGGGATGGTAGAAATCGGCTGATAGGAACGAGTTTGACTTGGACAGTTTGTTCTTACTAATGAACTAACTCACACTCAAAGATCTTCGCATTCTTAATTTACACTAATGAAAATTTTACATTATACTCTTAGTCAAACAAAAATATAATAGTATGCTCCATTTTAAGAAAATTGTGCACACAATTTTAATTTAAAAACTTAAAATTAAGTATATGTAAATAATTGTATTTAAAAAATAAGATATTAAAAAATTTGTAAGAAAAAGCAATGAATGGTGTCATTCACTCTTTTTCCTTTCTCTAATTTCTAGTTCTATAAATCTGCCATGTGTATGGGCATAAGACACGGCTACGGGTTGAAGAGAGTTCGTGACAAACGTACGTGGCAGAAAGGAAAATGACCACTGAACCCCCCAAAAATACATTGTTTATGTCGCCCATAAGTTCACTCGCACTCCCATGGCCCCCTCCAATAGAACCAATCATAACCATTGATTGATAATCATTTAAAAAAAAAGAAAAAAAAATTCGAAACTCTATTACAAAATTTGAATTGAGAATTAAAATGTGTTTCAAGCGTGAATGATTATCATAGAAAAAATTCCCAATTTTGAAAATCCATAGTTTTTCAAACACAGTCACAATTCTAGGATNAGGCTCGACTCGTTTCGGCCTCAGTTCGTTTTGAAACAAGCCGAGTTTGAATAATTTTTTAAACTCATTTGGCTCAAGCTTGCAAAACTCGATTTTTTTATATGTAAAATCGTTGAGCTAACAATTTTTTAATTGACATGCGACTCAATTATCGGCCTAACTATCGGGATGGTAGAAATCGGCTGATAGGAACGAGTTTGACTTGGACAGTTTGTTCTTACTAATGAACTAATTCACACTCAAAGATCTTCGCATTCTTAATTTACACTAATGAAAATTTTACATTATACTCTTAGTCAAACAAAAATATAATAGTATGCTCCATTTTAAGAAAATTGTGCACACAATTTTAATTTAAAAACTTAAAATTAAGTATATGTAAATAATTGTATTTAAAAAATAAGATATTAAAAAATTTGTAAGAAAAAGCAATGAATGGTGTCATTCACTCTTTTTCCTTTCTCTAATTTCTAGTTCTATAAATCTGCCATGTGTATGGGCATAAGACACGGCTACGGGTTGAAGAGAGTTCGTGACAAACGTACGTGGCAGAAAGGAAAATGACCACTGAACCCCCCAAAAATACATTGTTTATGTCGCCCATAAGTTCACTCGCACTCCCATGGCCCCCTCCAATAGAACCAATCATAACCATTGATTGATAATCATTTAAAAAAAAAGAAAAAAAAATTCGAAACTCTATTACAAAATTTGAATTGAGAATTAAAATGTGTTTCAAGCGTGAATGATTATCATAGAAAAAATTCCCAATTTTGAAAATCCATAGTTTTTCAAACA